TATATATATAAATGCCCCCCTGTGTAGCGCCTGTCCACTTTCTGACAGCTGCAGCCAATCAGAACCATCTCCTCATTGTGTACAAACTAAATAGCATGCACCCTGCGGCCTTTAAATTGCCCTGCACCACCAACAAAAGAGACAAAAGTTATTCACAGGACAACCCCACTAAGCTCTTCCTGAGCCATCTGCATGATGAGCAGCGGACGCAGAGGTTCTGTTTGCAGGAGCCTCTTTGGCCCGGCTGACCACGACCAGCTGCGCCAGGACTTGGAGCTGAAGCTGCAGGAGATCACAGAGCAGGACAGCCAGCRCTGGAACTTCAGCTTCCAGTCTGACACGCCGCTGAGTGGCAGGTTTGAGTGGGAAGTAATATCGACAGAGTGGGGAGCTGCCTGCACTCTTCAGCTGTGCTCAAAGACCCAGCGTGAGGAAATGTGTGACAAACAGGAGTGCCTGACTGGCACCGACCAGGAGAACTGCTCCAGCATCTCTAACGCCCCAAGGAGTCCTGCTGAGGGGAGCCCCATCCAGATGAAGAGGTCCAAATATGAAGCAGAGCCCAGAACCAACACACAAATTACAGGTAAATCTGCAGAACCTCAAATTAGCTTCTTCTGTAGTCAGAGCAGATACGTTATGAAAGGACGGACAAAAAACGTGTTTTCTTGTTTCATTTGCAGATTTTTTCACTAAGAAAAGGAGGTCGACAGAAACCAGAAGTACTACCAAGTCTTCTCACAGCAGATCCAGTGAAGCAGCTCAGTGCAGAACATTGGGATGAACTGAAAACTGACTTTGTTTCTCAAATACTCCAGGCTGTTTTTGTACCATCACCTTCAAGCCTGGAGGCAAAGGTCTTTGTGCGCCCTCTTTCACATGTCTGTTACCAAAATATCTCATGAACCTCAGGACAACGTTTATTGAAAGTTGCAGTAAGTAACAATTAGAGGTACTTTTGCAACCATATTGAAGTCAACTTGATTTAAAAATGGCTGCCACAGCCATCTTAGCTTAAAAAAACAAAAAACAAAAAATAGATATGAATCTGCCAGTTTTACAAATATTGACCTAAAGTTTGATGTGGTAGTAGCTGAGGTGGATTTTCAACACACATTTTGAGCACTGGCAGTTTGCCAAAATTTAAGACCGAGATCCTGATCAAAGTCAACTTTCTGCATCTGTCAGCAATAAATAATAATAATAATAATAATAATAATAATAATGGTAATAAATTCATATACTGGGCAGCTTTTTAAACTTTCAGGAAGTGATCAGTGGATGTACCTCTGCAAAGTGATGGACTCAATGGATACCAGAGCAAAATGAATTTATGTAAGACAGAATTCTTATATAGTACAGCAATCTTTGAAATTGGKTGGTTTTGCTGCAGCTCATTTACAACAGATACTCCAAGTGTTACCATCTGTAAAAAGTGTTTGTTTAAAACTTTTGCATTGACTGATGGAGTCAGTGATTGGAATTAGCAAATGTGGCTACAACTTGGTGCATTTTAGAAATAATCATTTTCAGTTTAATTTGGTAGTTGCTGAGAGTTATTCTCAATGCATACGCTGAGTGTGACATTTCACGTTTTCACATGGAACTGTGTTTTAATGGTCTTTTCAAGGATTGACTAAAACGGCTACGACTTAATCAAAAAAATCTGACATAAATGTGGTGGGTGGTATGCATTCCTTCTAGCAACTCGACTTTTTTTTTTGTTTTATTTATTATTTTTTTAACTTTCTATGATTTTCTTGATGTTTGTGTTTAAGATAAATTTTACCTAATGTTTAAGATTTTTTTATTCTATTTATTAATTTAATATTTGGCTTGACTTTTTCCATGTAGTTGTTCAGTTTCTGCAAACGCACTCAGCTGCATTTGTTAATCTGTTGTTGTCATCTTTAAATTAAATGAAAAGCTTGTAAATTTCCCTGGTTATTGGAATTTTAATAAAGCATGTAATCACAGCAGATGCTTCAGATTTCCTGATAATTACATTTTCTTCTTGGGGGCTTGCAGTCTTTWACACACAAAACATTTCCCATAGCCCAGAGACACAAAACAATAATCCTCTTAATTTGTTTGCTGATACATTTTGCATCCATCATATCTGTTCAATATGGAGAACGATAATAGCTTCTTAGTTTAATTATACAACGACAWTTTTTAACTAAAAATGGCATAACAGAAAATTACACCATTCTATAGTCAATAGTGCAGAACATTTTCAAGGAAACTGCACATTACAGAACATGTATTTATAACCATTTATGCCAAAGAGTGCAGGTTTTGCTATATTATTCTGAAAAGTTGTAACAGAAAATGTAAGTAAAAAATAACAACTTAAAAACAGGTTATCTGTGTATTATGTAATGGCTGTAGTAGAAGGACAATTTGTTTTCTCTGATATTGTATATTTTTCCTGTAATGTCCTTGTGACTTAAATGTTGGTAAAACTACCCGATCACAAAAGATTGCAGCAATATAAAAAAAACATTTCAACATATCTGCAAAAGTAATAAAGAACAAGTACAAAATGACAAAAAAAAATTAAACAAAAGAACAAAATCATGAAGAAAATTGTTTCCAGTTTCAATGATTATTCTGACCTTAAATAAAAAAAAATGCTGGAAAAACCTGTGGAACCACAAAAATGACTGAAGTTGGTCAAACATTAAATTTTACAGTCATATTTGTTACACAGACACACATGGGTCAATCGTGTAACTGAAGCTTACATGGCGTGTAGCAGAATCAGCTGAGCGCTTTGTTTACATTCACTGTGTACCTGCATTTCAGAATTACAAATCAATATAGCCAATTCCTTAAAACGGCACCATTGATAAAGTTCAGACAAAAATGATTGTGTTTTACTTCATACTTAATAAGTACATTTTAAGGAAAACTGGTATTGAGTCCTCCTAAATGTGAAAGGGAGTGATTTAAACTATTTACTCATTGAATGTAAACTTTATTTAAAAATATATAATAAATACATTATCCACAAAAAATGAGAAGTTTGATTTTACACTTTTCTATTAAGACAGTTTTAGATCTCTAGGGCATATATAGTTCATATTTATTTTCCATTACTTTGTTAATATGCTTTTTTAATTATTTATAATACTTGCATTTTGTGGTTTATTTTGTTTCTTGCTTTACAGACAGACAGAGTGCATTTCCTTTTATCCATATTATGATTCACATTTTATTTTGTAGTGCATGTTTTTAATATAAATTGAGTATTTGTGATTATGACGTGCATGCATTCATCTGTTATTTCTATGTGGGTTTTTTCATATTTCATGCTGTATTTTGGGAATTTTGTCAAGTAATAATGTGTGTATTGCTAAACAAGTGTGTGTAAGGCAGTCGAGTTAAATATGTCGGCTCAGTTTTAGAAATATCTAGTGTTGAAGGGAACAGGCTCAAAACAACACACCTAAATAAAGGTGCAGTGAACTCGTGTGTGTGTGTGTGTGTGTGTGTGTGTGTGTGTGTGTGTGTGTGTGTGTGTGTGTGTGTGTGTGTGTGTGTG